TCCGTGTTCCACACCTTTGGCAACCCTGCTGCCAATTTAATCCAAACCATTGTTGGAAGCATATACCTTCTGTAAACTCTTCTGCTGCCTCCATTCCTGCAGTTGTTCATATCTCCTGTAGCAGAATCTACAGTTTACAATGAGGTCTGCAGCAGATTAAATGCATTTTAATTCTCTAATTTATACAGAAACACAAGAAATTCAATCTGAACAAAGAAAGAACATTTCTCTTTAATACAAAGGATTTCTGTGTGAAGAGCAGTTGTTTGTGGAGGCGCCACATTAAAAATTGAACTTATCCACAGGAGCACCACCCACTTCTCTTCACTAAATGCAAAGTATTACTCTTCCACTGAACATTTGCAACTTGCTAACAGAATTGGTTTGTCACCAGAGTGCAACTAAAAAGGTTTCTATATGTGTTTGCTGCTGAAGAATTGATTTAGTCATTTAAGTCAACAAATTAACATATGCATGCTGCTCTGCAAAGAAATTAAGAGAAAATGTTTTCAGCCAAATCAATTATTTTTCTTAAGTAATAAAATTAGATTTAACTGGGATCTTGTTTATACACTCAGTTATCTCTTTATAGTTTACAAATGTTCAAAATGAAAACAAGAATAAAAAAACATATTAAAACATGTTTGTTCTAAACTGAAGTAAAATGGTAGATTCTGTGAATAAACCCTATTCTACAATCTTGGCAGGTTTAGACGCATGCATCTCTTACATTACACTTTACATTACATTACAACCAATAGGTTTGGTCACGTAAAAACGGGATAACAGCCTTTTTTAAGTTTTGAACCAAGAATATGTTCATTAAAGAACAAGAAAATTTTTTTTCCTGCGTCTAAAAAGCAGGCTGAGCATAAAAATAGCCATCTACCCCTATTTCCTTCATTAGTTTCTGACGGAAAAATGTTTGGTTCAGAAAAACCTGACAAACCTACGTCACACTGTCACTTAAAATGTATGGACATCTCGGCTCTTGATGGGGAAGGTTGTTGTTGGTTTAGCGTTCAGCAAACAGCAGAGAACTTTGACTTGTAGAAGTTAATTGTTAGCAGTTCCACAACACAGAACTTCGCCAGGGTTGTGTTATTTGTGGAGATAAAACATCAATGCTGCAAATCAAACAGTCAGTGGTAAGGTTGTGTTGCCATTAGCCAATCAAAGGTGAGGTGTCCGAATATCATAAAATCCTGTCGTCTGAAGCTACTTTGTCCTCCAGCTGAATTCTACATCCTTGAACAGGGGCATCCGAGTTTTCTTTCCCCAGAGTATGATTTACAAGGCACTTGTTCCTACTAGAGGCCTCTGCAAATGTATTAAAAATATGAGTAAATCTGGCCTTTAAGTAAGTAGGCAAAGTATTTTTAATATAGTAAGCATTAATCAGACATAAAAATAGCAAAGTACATCACACACACACACACACACACACACACACACACACACACACATATATATATATATATATATATATATATATATATATATATATGATTATACAGATTATATTTATAGTATTGGAAAGTATCGGTTATCAGTAAAAGCAGAGATATTAGTTTCAATATCAGCCCAAATGCTGGTGAACCTCTAGCTGATTAATACATTACTATAACAAATTGTTACTTGGCGTGAACATAATGGTTCTCTGTTGAACCTTTAATCTAAGGATATAATGTTAAAACCTACAATGGAAGGAATAAGTATTTCACAGCATTTTCATCAGTAAGGGTTTTCTAAGAGCTTCTGACACCAAATTTCCACCACGTCAATATCAAGTATTTAATTCAAGCAGAGACATCTAAACAAATACGTCCACACATTGAGTTATGCGTAATAAAGTGAAAACACACACGGGAAAAAGTATCAAACACATGAAGATAACAAGGTGCAAAATGGCGTAAAAACCCTGTCACCCATCAGTACTAATTGATTTCAGCTGGTTTAGTCCTAATTGATGGCCTATAAAGGCTTCTCATTACCTAGTAGGCACACAGGAACGTCTTCATGATGGGTAAAGGCAAAGAACTCTCCCATGAGCTTTGTTACCTTATCGTTAAAGCATACTGATGGCAATGGCTATTTCCAGAACTTTTAATGTTCCTGTGAGCACTGTGGAGCCTTCATCCAGAAATGGAAACAGCATCAGTTCACCATAAACCAATCACGATCAGGTTATCCACTTACGATTCCTGTCTGAGGAGTCCAAAGAATAATCAGGAGAGTTCTCCAAGAGCCAAGTACCACTCAGGCAGAACCTAAGGAAGACCGTGCATCAGCAGGTACTGTTGTTTCAGACTATAAGCAATGTACTGAACCGCCATGGCATCTATGCACGCTCACCACGCGTTCCACCATTGTGGAACAAAACACATGTTGAGGCTTGGGTAAGTATGTGAAACACCACTTAGAGTAGCCTGTGGATTACTGGCTGGATTACTGGATTACTTTAAGGCAGCAGTAGATAAGGAGGTAGAGCGGGTTCTCCAGTAATGGGAAGGTTGTAGGTTCAATCCCGGCTCCAACCAGAGAATGGTGCTGTTGTGTCCTTGGGCAAGACACTTAACCCACCTTGCATGCTGATGGTGGTCAGAGGGACCGATGGCGCCAGTGCTCGGCAGCCTCACCTCCATCAGTGCGCCCCAAGGAAGCTGTGGCTACATTGTAGCTCATCATCACCAGTGTGTGAATGGATGAATGACTGTGTTGTGAAGCACCTTGGGTGGTTGTAGAACCCGAAAAAGGTGCTTTACAAATACAGGCCATTTGCCATTTACTAGGAGACTATAGAATGGGCAGATGAAAGCAAAATTCACTGAATAGACTACATGTTTACTTAGATGTTATGATTTCTTTGTTTGAATTCAATAATTATGTGCTTGATGGCAACATCTGGAGCAAATTTTGTGTCAATAGCCCACTTAGACATGCCCTTACTGATAAAAATGCTGATGTGTCGTCTACCTGTTTGCCTGTAGTCAATTAGGAATCATTAACATGCCTAAAACCACATGTGGTGATAAAAACACCACAGGTTTTTACAGGCAGACAGAAATAATGTCTAGAGCGGTATAATCTGAAGAAACGTTATTAAAAACGGAAACCACCCACCTGTAAAATAAACAGACAAAGATAAGTCCCTCCCCTTCATACAAACTGCTACTTTCACCATGAACAGCCTTATTTTCACCAAGCACTGATGTGAATTTGCTACATTTTAAGTTGACCTTTAATAATTGCCTTTGCCAGGGAGTATTCTGTGGTGATGTGACTCCACTTTCCCTGACTTTCACAGCACTTAGAGCTATTTAAATTCCCCTTCTAGTGCATGTGCCCAAAATTACACCAAGCCACATTCCTTCCAACTTTGTAAATAAGCAGCCCACAGCATTGCTCGGCTGCGTCAGTGGCCTTGGTTGTCATGGAGGCTAACAACTCTCATTATGATCAAACGCAAAAGATGACACTACTCTCAGAGAGAAACCGTACCAAAAGCAGACAGATCAATTAGGGTCAGGCTTTGCACACCAATGGTCCAGGGATTTGCTGAATTAAAGGGAAAAATGAGCAGTGATTTGAAATAGCAGCTAATTGAGTGAAATTCAAAATGTGTCCGTAAACAAGGCGCGTGAGCTGAATACAAAGGAGAGCAAAGGAGAGCAAAGGGGGAGGACAATGAATGCAATAGAAATAATAACTCGTTCACCCCTATGAGACTTGCACAGAGGACAACTGGACGTGTCGGTGTCTTGTCTGAATGAGTGTCTTTGTGTTTTCTGGTCCCCCAATGTTTTGTTAAAACAACCTAGTAATAAAAAAAAAATAAATAAAAACAAAGCTGCAGTCCTGTGCTTTCATTAATTAAAGACCTCAATGTTCTAAATCATGCGTCTGAAAAAGTACGACACACTTCCAGGAATCGCGGGACACTTGACTCTTTAGAGTGTAGTCGGCATGCTTTTACCCTGAAACACCAGGGCGGTTTGTGCCATTTGAAGAAGAAGCGTTCTGTGCAACACATCAGCGTTTGGTCTGATTGAAAGATTCATTCTGATGTCCTGGATGAACGTCCTGTAACCCAGACACCAATCACTCTTTCATCCCTTCACTCATCCCTCCATCACGTCCCAAACACTTGTCACCTCATGGAGACCTCTGAGTGACTTATGGACAATGTTCATTACAAGTTTGTGTCACTTTCTTGACTTGTTTATATTGAACGACTTCACAGTGCCAGAGAAAAGAGCACGGTTTCAACAAATGTCTCCAAGTATTTCTACATTGCTGCTCAGATGCCCAGTTTTTTTTTGTTTCTCTAAAATAGATGTTTTCTTCTTAGTTAAATATTACTGTGTTTTAATTAGCATTGTCACCTTCATAATAACCTGGAAAATAATCCCTTTAATATATTATAAGTGGGTTCTTCTATATGATTCTTTCTAGGAGAAGCTTGGTTATTCTACAGCTGTAAAATAAAGGCACTTTTGTACCACTGATATAAAATGTAAAATTCTTCATCATTTCAGGTAATTTAATATTTAAATGTCAGTTTGAAATGTTCTGTGATAATAAGGAATTTATGTGCCTGAATCAACAAGTAATGAAATAACTAACAGTAAGGGGTTGCATCAAAATGCAAACATATCCTCCAAATTATGTGTGTGCAGATTAACCAGTTTGAATTGATTAACAGACAAGCATAATGGAACTAGATCAATAGAGCAACTCCGTACCAGAGCCATTTTAGGATTAAATCTAAATCCATTGGTTTATCATGTCTTCATAATAAAATCTAATCCATTTAACACTTAGATTAAAGGTTTTTTTTCCTTTCAGACGTCCACTTTTAAAGAAAAACAACAAAAAGTTAAAAAATAATGCACCTTCTCTGTACTCTTCTTCTGCTGCCCTTCCTGCAGTTTCAAGGCTGCATTTTCTCATTAGCGACACCTACTGGTTTAAAAGAAGATTAAAGCTCTCATACAGACCTGTCTTTCCAGTGTTTTTCATGGTGGTCTGATTGGATGACTCGACATTGAACTTGTCCAGCACCAGCTCCTGGTACTCCTCCGAAACCAACGCTTGATCATCTACAATATCCACAGGTGATTGGTTCTTTGCAGCACACTCCGGGTATAAGGTTGCCCAGCCTCGAGGTCCATGGCTCCCTGCAGCAAACAAGGAAAGAACAGAAAACATGACATAAACTTCTAAATCTATCCTGCTTGAATTTAGAAACGCTGACAATAAAGATACTGCAAAAGCAGCGGCAGAAATTGTGATAAAGAGGAGGAAAATTCTTTTATATTCATTCAGCTGTTGTGCCCTTTTATTTCCCCAGCTGAGAAAACATGGGAACACAATGAAAATTCATCATCTGGATGCAGACAGCCCCTTTGTTAATGGTCCATAGAAGAAGAAAATCTCCACGTAAGGCATTTTCCAAACATGCCACCTGATGTTGGAACTAAGTTAACGTCCAGCTGTGCTCTTTTTTTCTACTTATTTTAGAAAATTGAGTGTCAATTAAACTAACAGAAGACGCTAAGAATCCATGAGCCGTGTGTGTCGCAAACCAACTTCCTGTAGAATCCCTATTCACTCTCTGCTCTTTTAATCCTCTATCCCCTACAGTGGCACTTCTACAAAGGAATAATCCACAACCGACAGGGGTCCCCTTGATCTCTTCCCGGCTACAATTGGCCGATGCAACAACAAAAGCTGAAGGATCAGGGGAACAAGAAAGCATGCATGGATTTCAACTTTTCTGGGTTAACACAATATTCATGATCTCATTCCCTACAGATATAGGACAACTTTGCTATGAGCTCATGAAAAAGATATGAGAGCTCTTCTTGACTAAAAAAACACAAATCAAGGGTGGCTTAATGTCTTGCTATGTATAAACACCTTGCAGCCAAACAGACCCAGCTCAGTTCTTTCAGAAAAAAAAAGACAATGTGAATCAGGATTATTTTTGAAACATGCGGCGCAACAACCAGAGAACAACACACGCTGGGGTGTGCATACATACAGACGGCTGAGCAAACCCTAATATTCAGAGGAAAATTACGTATTCACTGGGGGAATTGATAAAGCAATTCCTCGAATCTGCCCACTGATCAAAAGTAGAAAGTCTGCAAAAAACAAAACTTGCAGAACACCAATTTGTGCAAAAAATAAAAAATTCACTCTTAAGCTGCGAACTGCGCTGAACGTTGCAATAAAGTTTAGCTGCATTTTGAGCTAATGAATGCATTGGCAGAGCTGGATTAACTGCGTCAGCCACGATTATAGATTTAATAATATGTCTGTACCAGTACAACCCCTATCTTTTATACCCGTGGACGCAGCCCATTATGAATGAAACACTAATACTATGAGGTAATTGAAAGCAGCCTGCCAATCAGAAATACACAGAGGATTTACATAAAATAGAGCAAATGTTTACAAATTCCAGATTAAAAGTGCTATGTGCACAATAATTTCTATTAGGCCTTTGTTTACATATTTATTATTTTCCATTCCGTTTGATTTGTGCTTGCCAAGACGCTAGCCACAACCTAGCTCTGCACAATGTAAGCCCAGTTAACTGCCCCCAGCTCATTTATACAATGTTTTGACTCACACATGAAAGCTCTTAGAAGTAATATACTTATCAGCAATCAAAGAAATGACTCAGGGGTGTGTAATGCACTTGCTACTATGAGGTTAATCTCTTGTTGAATCAACAGATTCATCAAAATGGAAAAGAAAAATGTTAATCACCCAAAAACAGAAGCGACTCGGCCACCACAGCGCTGAGTCTCAAACCGGAGCAACGGGGGAAAAAATAAATAAAAATACAAACTCACAAAGAAAACTACAGCAGGATTCCAAATGAGGATCCCTGCCTACAGCCAATAATACATCTACTTTATTTAGTGTAAAACCACAAAAAATGTGCTAACATTTGCTTTCATTGCCCATTTTTCAGCTGTTCTACAACCTATTCCATGCTCCATCTGAGCAGTATTTTATTGAAAACTAAAATAAAGTAATAATATTTATCTGCCAATTGGAACTTGGTGGCATAGACAGAGTTGACGCTTCTCAGGACTGTATTTTAATGCCATTTTTACAGAGGAGATTAAAGGCCCCTAAAAAGTAAAAAAATTCTGACTTTAATCTCAGAATTTTGACTTTTTGACCTCTGAAGAAAAAAGTCAAAATTCAGAGATTCAAGTCAGAATTACTTTTCTTTTCACGTGTTGAATGTGCTAAAGCGTTTTAAAGCCATTAAAAACATTCCCTTGTCAGTTTTAAATCGAATGGTTATTTGCATGAAAATCTGTGGCTCGTTAGAGGTGTCAAATCTACTCAATTCAATTCAGCTTATTTATATAGTGCCAGGAGTCGTCTCAAGGCACTTCACTAAGTATTCCAACTGAACCTACTTATCAGTGCATTTCAATTAGTTAAAGTTTCCTAAGTGAAGCCGGGCGTACACTGTGCGACTTTTTCACTTTTTTGAGCTGATTTTCCACTCGTGTGAGAATCCACGAGATCGGGGCGAGTTTTGCGCTGAGCGTCGTGTAGTGTACAGGGGGTTACGAGAGGCGATTAACACCACGTGACCAGCTACCGATCAGCAATCGTGAGCTCGCACAAACTTCTGGCGTGTTAAATATTTTGCTCGTCCCTCGTGAGGGTATCGCACTGTTGAAGCGGCGCTGGGAGCAGCTGCGACCCAAAATGTATCAGAACCGCTCACGGCGCATGCACAATCCTGCATCAACACCGCTCCCCGCTATTTCCCTAATAACACACGCTGTTCGTTTTAATTTCTACACATTTTTTTAACTCACAAAGATTGTCAAGAAAGCGTGTTTGTCGTGTTCATGTCAAATTAAACTGATCACAAAACACAGATTTACTTTCTTTATTTCGTTTTCCTCATCCAACCCCCATAAATCCCTGTGTGTCCTCCTGCAGCTCTCCCGAAGGACAACAGGCAAAACAAGACAAAAAAGTCTGACGTGTTGAGTAAAAACTGCTATTTTTAGCATATTTTTAGTCCGACGTGTTGCTACCAGACGTACAGTGTGAGCAGTCAGATCGCATCCGAGAACTGGGTCGTGCAGTGTGAGCACATGACTCGTGAGATCTGCCCTGCAAGGAAGTCGTACAGTTTGAGCTGAAGCTGAGTGCTACGAGTGAAAAAGTCGTACAGTGTATATATACATATACATACATATACATATACATATACATACATATATATAATATATACATATATAATACATATATAATAAAAAAAAACTTTTGAAGGTTTACAAGTTAACACAAGTAAACACACAACTTATACAATTCAAAAATGGGTACAGGCAGAAGCATAAGCTTATAACTCCATCACGCTTGGCTCACTCTCATTCCTAATTAATTAGCAGAATGCAGCGCTTCTGTTGCAGAAGAAGGAACATTTGATTGTATAGCGCCTCTCAAGATAAAAATCAAGAGATGCTTCACAAGGAAATTTTCAAATGTAAAATATAGAAGTTTCTTTACATTTATGCAAATTGAACAATAAATTACAAAATTGAAAACAGAGTAAACATTTTATACAACAATGTTCACATTATCTGTTATTACACATCCATTCTCTTCATTGACAACTCAAAGGTCTCTAAATTATTGCTGCATTAACCACAAATACATGTTTACTGGTTGGAGTGCGGCTGCATTGGTCCTAACTAGCCATTAGCTTGTCAATCCTTTTATATTTTTTGAAATTGCGGCAGGTTGGGAAGCTTTCTACAAGAAAACATTTCTAAATTCCCAAACATCTCAAGACTTTCAGGTTTCCTGTGTGGCATGTTCATTTAGCGCCTAACAAAATGTCGGTAATAGAAGAACTATGTTACATAAGATAAATCTTTCAAGAGCATGTCACTACGCATTTATTACTGTTGCAAGCATTACGTGACAACACAGCAGCCTTCAGAGTGATGGTTGAGAGGGAGTAAGAGGCTGTGCAAGCTGCACCTCCCAGAGACCTAAAAATTAGGCTTTCTTATAAACAAACCCTGTTAGGTCACACACTGGAAGAAACAGGAGCAGAGCGGACTGTTTGCTTTCGAGAGCCTGTAATCTGCAGAAATGATGATGATTCCCCTCCTCTGGCGAAGATCCGACACCCACTTCCCCTCTGTGCACGAAAGCACACCTTCGGCTTGGGTGTTCTGCAACGCAGAAAATTTTACAAGCCAGCTGGGTCCCCTGCTCAGACCTGATAAGGTCAATATGCTGATATTTCAAGTGAGAAACGTTTCTAAGCGACATCTTGATTCTGGAGCACGGCGAGAAAAAATTGTGTTGCATCTCTTAGAGATGAATCTATTAGAGGACCTAAAATTACACACGGTAATGACAACATCAGGAGAAACTCTAGGCATGCCTTAATACAGGAAGGTTCATTTGAGCAAACTTTAAAGATTTAACACGTCTAAAGGTCAAAGTTCTTCAAGGTAGAAAATTAGAAGACAGCACACGGCCATACAGACTGGGAAACGAGCAACATCCTGTGAAAATATATTTCCCCCAAAAATACACTGCAGCTCAGATAAAAAACCTATTTTTAATGTTTATTTACCAGGATGTTGTTTATCGCTCAAAACACAAATATGTATGAAAGAAAAAGCATGACTTAGTTTTTGTTTCTTTGAATGTGGCAGAAACAAAACATGGAGCTCATGCTGGAACAGAGCTGACGACATATTCGTACAATTCTAGGAAGTATTAGAGAAAAAGCAGAAACACCTGGCTTGTATCACATCTGTTTTTCTCAGAAAACACCTTTTCTCTTAGTAGTCTGAGGTGCAATGCCTCCCGCTGCTTTGAGCACTGCTCCTCTAACTGACAAAAAGTGGAACATGCAGGTATCAATATTAATAAAATGACTCAACGTTCTTTTTGCAGTGGATTCCTTTCACTCTTACTTCTGTTTAAACATCTTTTAAATCTTTGGAAGAACTGAAAAAAACCCTTTAAATTTCAATTTATTATGTTAAACCACCATCTATTAGTGGTCCAGATTAGTGAACACAAATAAATAAGGAATAAAACTTTAATAACCGAATAAATCCATGTTTTAGTGAGCTGAACCAACAAGAATGTTTCTTAGATCTTG